CATAAATAAAACCACTTCTGAAGATGCAAGCCACTCGTGCTGGCGAAACGTCAGGAAGAAATTCTACCGAACGACGGCCTAAAAACGCGAAAAACCCATTAGTGCTCATCATTACGTCAATCAATATACTTGGCACTGACATGGAGCGATTTTTGCGCTATTCTATTCTGTTTCTTTGCAATTGGCTGCTGGGCTCTTGCGCTGGTAACCAACGACAGTGAGAACCCAAGCCTACAGTTTCTTAAAGCGTGTGTTTCTAGAGGTAAAAATTGTAGAAGACGGACCGAAGAAAGCGTTCAATATAGTGATTTTTTTCACGCATGTGGATGGAAAATGCTCACATCTTCAGCAGGACACTTTGGAGTTTCTCGGCCTTCATCAAGCCACCAGAGTGAAGGTTTGGAAGAGCGCGAAAAGTAAACATCCACTACGTCAGTCCTAAATTTTCCAGCTGAGTGCCGCTGAGCCACAAAACACATTCCAAGATGAGGAAACCGGTTCGGAATTCTGCAGGGATTTTTTGAAGGACAGCCTGATGTCCCTCACTCACTTTTGCCACACTGTGATGAAGATGAAGACTGGTAGTGGGGCAATTTTGAGGTGAAGCTAATCAAACAACGCGCCAATTTCCAGCTATAGCTTCAGTGTCCAGCAAGGAAATGATGAACGACATCCAAGAGCCGGAGGCTCCCTTCCATGCAAGGTCGAGCAGATCTGAAAATTCTCAGCCTGCATGGTTGAGTGTTGAGAGGCCTGCGGCCAAACCTCCTCAATGGGAGGCGGAGGACTTAACAGCCAACGCCAAGAACATCATTACTGGCACTCAACATACGGAGGTGTTCCAGATCAGAGTCCGGAGGAACGTGGAGGAGGAACCTGCAGAGGGGAAGCGGATTCATGTTAAAGTGATAGACGATTATCCTCAGGAGAGAACGTCCTCGCATCCATGGGACGTCTTGGACATAATGAAGCATGTGCGGTACTCGTTTCTTGGAGATTTGTTTGACGATGGTAATTTTCCCGGAGCTTGAAACTGGCGAGTTTTTCAGGCTTTTGGAGCTATTTTTTTCAAAATTTTGGCACCAGAGCCTGACTTTTTCTTTCCGGTTTAGGAAAAATGCGTTCAGGAAACTTGGCTTGCACGATTTGAAGTCAAATATTGCACATTTTCGCTAATTTTTTGCTTATAGAAGAGATTTTGCTCTATCGGTTGCTACACTCGGCTTTGTTCTGTTTCTAGCGGTTTTGGAGAAACGACTTTTTGACGTTAGAAGCTGTCGCTCCAAAGTCCCAAAATGTTCTTTAGAAGGTTTTTGAACATATACAGGAGGATTTGCTTGATCGGTCGTTGTTCTCCAGTTTGCTCTGTTTTCGATTTCTTTATCAAAAACTGTTGAACAATTCAGTTTGCCAGACATTTTCGACACTTAGAGCAAAGTCTGCTCCCTATCAGGATCCAAAGCTTCTTTTTTCTACCTCGCATAATTTGCAAGCAAGAACCATTTCTAGAAATTTGAAAATTCCGTTTTAGAGTCTATTTTTCCAGGATTTTTGCACATATTTTGCTCAATCAGACGTCGCCGACTGCTTCAGTCTATCTCCAGTCGTTTCAGGGAAATATTTTTTTGAAATTTGTCTCGCTTGTTTTGGCAATTTGTTCATTTTCAAAAAATTTGCAAAATACAGCTTAGCTAACTGATTTTTTGATATTTATAGGAACCTCTGGTCCGTACCACGATCCAAAGTTCCTTTTTTCTGCCTCAGATAATTTGCATATAAGAACGGTCTTAAGCAAATTTGAAAATTCGCCTGGGTGTTTTGCCGACTTGGTTTCGAAAAAATGTCCAAAAATTGCCCTTTAAGATAATTTTTTTTGTGATCTTTACCCATATAGCAGGGGCGGAGTCTTCTGTTATCTATGAAATTAGAAAAATGATCGTCGTTTTGAGCAAGGGTGGCCCAAGATTATTGCAAAATTTCATGTTTTCCGTCCCGTTTTGCATGTTTCTCGGAAGCAAAATGAGCAAGAACGCTCGGTTTTACATCATTCCAGAG